TCGGGCCTTCAAGTTTAGTTCTGCTTCTTTTTTTGAACTTTATGTGTCTTTGTGGTTTACTTTTTGGGTATGAAGAGCTGGTTGGTCTAAGCTTCTCTTTTGATTTTATATTGTCGTGACCTGATTGATTTTGTCTTCAGGAGTTCCGTGGTGGCCCAATTCCATTGTGGGTCAGAAGTTTTCAGACTTTCTCTTTAGGTCTGGAATCTACTAAGAACGATTTTGGCCTCAGGAACTTGGGAGTTGGACTGACCTGAGATCCTGGCCGAGGCCATGCCACGCAGGGATGAAAAGGCAGATGGGGTGGGAAGAAGCCCCAAGATTTACCAGGGAGTGGATTGAGTAGCTGGGTTGTACTGGATGCAAAGGATCAGGGAGAGGAAAGGTAAGCCTCGGAACCCCAGAAAGAGGCTATCAGCCCCAGCAAGAGGCTGGCAGGTGTTACATGACCAGGGAAGTGTAGGGAGGTGAGGGCAGGGCCAGGTCCAGAAGCGGTACCCCTGGGGCCCAAGAAAGGCACTAAGTTGGTCTGGGTGAGAAGGGTCAGGAAGCAGTATTGGTTTCCCCATTGTCTGGGGCCCCAAGTCTAGGAATGGCACAGGTCCCAAACTAGGAGTAGCGAACAGTGGGGGAGATGGAAGGGTGAATGTGGCTTGGGGAGTCAAGGTGCGGAAGGCTGCGCTATAGACTTACCCCAAGAGGCCTGAGGATAGGAGTGCAGGCTAGGAGAGTTAGCCAATGGTGCTGGTCCAGGGATGCAGAGAGAGGTGAGGGCGAGGCCAGGACCAGAAGCGGTGCTCCTGGGTCCCAAGAAAGGCACTCAGTTGGTCTGGGTGAGAAGGATCAGGAAGCAGTATTGGTTCCCCAGGTGTCTGGGGCCCCAAGACTAGGAATGGTGCAGGTCCCAAACTGGGAGTAGCGAACAGTGGGGAAGATGGAAGGGTGAATGTGGCTTGGGAAGTCAAGGTGCAGAGGGCTGTGCTGCAGTCTTACCCCAAGAAGCCTGAGGATAGGAGTGCAGGCTAGGAGAGTTAGCCAGTGGTGCAGGTCCAGGAACGCAGAGAGAGGTGAGGGTGGGGCCAGGACCAGAAGCGGTGCTCCTGGGGCCCAAGAAAGGCACTTAGTTAGTCTGGGTGAGAAGGATCAGGAAGCAGTATTGGTTCCCCAGGTGTCTGGGGCCCCAAGACTAGGAATGGCGCAGGTCCCAAACTGGGAGTAGCGAACAGTGGGGGAGATGGAAGGGTGAATGGTGGCTTGGGGAGTCAAGGCGCAGAGGGCTGTGCTATAGACTTACCCCAAGAGGCCTGAGGATAGGAGTTCAGGCTAGGAGCCTAGTTTAATTTTTAACTAATGGCACATACAAAATAAGATAAAGAAAAATTATAAACAAATGAAATGATATAGCTAAAGTATGCATAAAGGCTGATCCTCTCTGATGCTAGTTCTAAGTGACAGAGTAGATCATAATTACTAGTGCATAAAACCTTGGAGTAGAAAACTGAGGACTGGATTAAGTTTGAAATTCTAAAATAAAGATAAGTCCTCTGCTTAGCCTTGGCTTATATTTAACTGATGTGCTTATTTTGTATTTGTTCTGTACTTATTTCTCATGAGCTGGGATAGAATGACAGGTGATAAACTAATCAGCAAGAAAATGGGACACATTTGTACCCATTTTTTTCCTCCTAAAAAAGTGTAAAGTTTATACTATTATATAGGCTCACTGGAATGAGACTGTTCTTACAGAGCCTCAGAAAACATTAGTAGTTGCTGCAGAAACTGCCTATGCTTACTGGCATTCTTGACACTGAGGTGCATTTTGGGAGCAAATAACTGCCTTGATGCTTCCTAGTTGCCTTGAATTTTGATATCAAAAAGAGTAAATCTGAAGTTCTTGGTGTACATTGCAAAATAGCTACCAATGATCAAAATACACTCGTTTATTCACATAAGGTATCTGCTCCCCTGAGCATATTATTTGCTTTACTTTATTCATGCTAATATTTTAATTTATACAAATATCAATTAAATATTTTTAAAACATAATGAGTGTGTACAACTGGGAGGGAGAGGAAAGTAATGCAGAGTTAAGAGGGAGGAAGGAGGGCTAAATAACACCAAGGATATTTGAAGAAAACATAGGGAAACATTTTATAAACATACTTAGTTACGGGGGTCCTTCCCCGCACGCAGCACGATGGCGGAGGTGAGGGAGTGCGCTGCCCCCCCAACCCTCTGTTCCTGAGGAACCACCAAGGAGGCAGGGAGTCTTGTCCAGCAGGAGCTCGTTTATTAAGCTTTAGGCAAGTGTTTATATACATTTGTGAGCATTGAGTGTCCCTCCCTTTACTCCACCCGGGAGTTTGATTGGTCATGACCACGGGACTTAATTAGCATTTTAGGTTTCAATTTCCCAGAGCTGTCAGGTTCCTATTTCTCCAGGGCTAGGTTTCTATTTCCCAGAACTGTTAGGTTTCCATTTCTTATCACCATGCCCATATGGTCTTTACTTCTCCTGACTGTTGAGTTGTTTTCTATCACCAAGTCCCCACACTTAGTAATACATATATAATATATATTAATATTTTATATATATTTTTAAATGAAGTTCTGTCACTTGAGTTGATAATGCTTCCCCAAGAACCATAGACTTTCTAACATAAACTCCAGTGTGAGCCATGGGAAACTTCCCCTCCAGTTGTTGGTTGGGGTATTTAAAGAGACTCCCAAACTATTGCCATTGTCCTTGGTTACCTCCCAGAACCTAATGGTAAGACCCTGTTGTTGAAGATATCATACACTTTGGACTTAGGACTTGGAGAAATGGAGCTGGAACTGATTTGGAAGACTCCTTGAGGACCAGTTCTCCTAGTATCAGAAGGCACTGTGCAAGCTGCCAAGGGAGAAAAGCAATCAATAGTCCTACTCAGTTTTAATGTTTATCAACCACAACAATCACCTGCCTCATGAGATATCTCTAATGGTATAAGAGTGGCATTTTTATCTTGGGGATAACCAACAACTGTCTAATTGGACTTAAGACCCACTCAATAAAAGGGAATTCATGCTGGGTACTGTAAACCTAGACAAATACTCATGACTGGACAGGTCATAGACCCTAGAAGAGAACCAAATACTACCATTCCCTAAACCAATGTAATTTCTAACTATATTCTAAATATTTATCCTTAAATCCACAGTAAATGTAGCTCTCACTCCTCATCAAAGAAGCTTGTTTTTGCAGCAGATGGAGAGGATTACAGAGTGACACAACATGCCCAGGCCCAAGTGATATGTCTAAAATACACCCTCTGTCTCAGAGAACACCATGGAAGAGGGGCAGAAAGATTATAAGAGCCAGAGGATCAGGATGCTTGTTGCTAGCTAGTGTCTTCCAGACATGAAAGGGAAGCTTCACCCATGAAATTGCAACAATACAACTGCCTAAACAAGATCTAAATAATAACGACAGCACCATTTGACACATCAGTATGGATAAGGGAAATTTCACAAGGTCCTACCTCTAAATGAAGAGCTGCAGTCAATCAATGAATTGTGAGAGAGTGAGTTTTTTTCCAGGGGTAAGGTGCCTCTCCCAAGTCATCAGCCCTAAGTCATGTACACAGAAGCAACACTAAATGGACTCTGTAGGTTGTATATATATATATATATATATGGTATATATATATATTGTATATATATATATATACAATAATAATTAAAGAGTTCAAGAAGTTGAGAGGGACTGAGGGAACTATGGGAGGAGCTGAGGGGGAGAAGGAAGGGTAGAAATGATGTAAATACAGTATTTGTTTATAAAATTCTCAAAAAAATAAAATTAAAAATAAATTTTTTTTTTAGAATTTCATCTGAGTATTGTATTTATGTCACTTCCGCCCCTCCCAGTCCCCCTGCAACTCCTCCCATGTCCCCCCAACTCCCTCTCAATTTCCTGTCCTATCGATTATTATTGTTACACACACACACATACACACACACACACACACACAAAATGCACTGAGTCCATTTAGTAGTGCTTATGTGTACATGTGCTTAGGACTGACCACCTGAGATTAAATAACTCTTAGGAAGATCATCCCTGGAGAAAACCGACTCTCCCTCCCTCAGCCTCTATTGATTACTTGTAGCTCTTCAACCAGAGTTGGGATCCCATGAAAGTTCCCCCATTCACACTGGCATATCAACTGGTAATCCAGACTAACTTGATGCCAAAAAAACTTCTAATATACTTTTAAGAGTGACTTATCTCTATGAACTTAGTAGTTTTAATTTAAAATTTCCAGATACTTAGGTTACAGTTTATGTGGTTAGACCCTTTGAAGATAAATTCAGAACATTGTTCATGTACAAATCCAAATCTGTATTTGCTTCTCTTGATAAATCTGGTTACTTTTGAGTAACAGACTTAGAGGCTCACCAGATTCAGAACTCAGAAACTGGATAAGGTACTGGATGCCATTGTGGACTCTCATTGCTCTTTGATTCTTTTCATTTCCTATACATAAGACCCGTATACAGTTCATTACATTTACCAGCACACTTTCTATGTCCAGCTTCAAGAGATTTATCAGAGCTGGAATTCCATTCTAAAACACAAAATTAATTACATTTGAATGTATTTAAGAGTAATACAATTTTGTTTAAAGCTCTATAATCTTTCTATAAATGTCTCCTTATTTAGGAGAAAAAAGTGCCTATAAACAAAAGTGGCTAATGATATGACACATTAAGCTACCATAACTAAGTCCAATACTTCTTCACAAAGTAGAATATCCAATAAATATATTACACATAAATACACATAAAATAATGATGTTAGTTCATTGTAATATTTCTAAAAAATGAAGCAACTGAGTCAGAGCAATTGAATAATTATCCCATTTGGAAATATTTGCCATTGTGGGCAGTACACTGGTAGTAATTACATATATGCAATACAACATATATTTTTAAATTTTATTTATTTAATATTTTTATTTATTATTTTTATGCATATGTGTGTATTGCCTGCATGTAGGTAAGTGTATCTGTGTCATATAGTGCCCATGGAGGACAGAAGAGGCTGTTGGATCTCCTGGAACTGGAGTCACAGACAGTTGTTAGCTGTCATGTGGGTACTGGGATTCAAACCTGGGTCTTCTGCAAGAATAGCTAGGGTTCTTAACCACTGAGCCATCTCTCCAGTCCCTATTTATTTATTTTATGTGTATGAGTGTATCACCTGCATATAAGTTTATCCATGTTGTGCAGTGTCTGTGGAAGTCAGAAGAGGGTATTGGATCCCCTAGAATTAGAGTTATGGATCATTGTTAGCTGCCATGTGGGTGCTGGGATTTGAACCCTGGTCTTCTGCAAGAGCAGCCAATGCTCTTAACCCTTAAGCCATCTCTCCAGCTCTGCAATACAACATATTTTTAATGTGAATATAATTTCCAATTTTTAAGTGTAGTGAAGATGACTCTTCTCCCTACTTACAAGAAACAATGTAAGACTATCAGTGAAAATGAAAAACAGAAATGCAACCCATTTTCAATAAAGCTAGGAGACTTTGCTGTGTTGAAACATGTATATGGGCTGCTAATAGGGATACAAGCAATGGTGATTAGCCTCAAGGAATGCTAGCAGAACAATTTTGCATATTAAGTGACTACCATGAGAAACAGGAAAAAAACAAAACCGAATTCACTGTTTGAAACAATTCAATTAGATTCAGGATGACAACAGGCTCTTTTCTAGGCCATTTTTGCATGAAGTTTTTGAAATCTGAGAAAGCAAGGATGATTCAGTCTGATAGGTTATATTTGAATGAAATATGGATATGTTTGATATGTCTTTTGGTGAGATAAAAAGAAAGGGGTTTCACATTGAGGAGGAGACAATCTGCTTCATGAAGTACAGTGCACCCTCAGTCTCTCTGCCTAGGTAAAAGTAAAGTGAGTAACTCATGCACACAATCCTGGATAACAGTTTTCTTGCTACAGCATGTGTCCAGGCCCTTTTCCAGATATGATTCCTGAAAGTAACTGAATTGGAAATAACTCATCTAATAAGTGAGTAATAAGCAGAAAGGAAACAGCACAGAATCTGTCCAAATATAAGAAGAAAAGCTCATGGCATGTGAGAAAAGGTATTATGGTTTGAAGGTATGTGCTCCTCCTAAATCATACAGAGGAACTTGTGCCCAGATGTGACAATATCAAGAAGTGGAGCTTTAGGAGGTGATAATGACTTTATTAAAAGGGCTGGAGAGAAGCAACTGGACCCTTTTGCTTTTCTACCTTCTGCCATATGAGGACAGACCAACAAACGCCATCTTAGAAGCAAAGAACACTTTCACTAGACAGTGGACATGCTGACACTTTGATCTTCTGTGTCAAGACTTTGCCCTTATGAACCAGAAATAAATTTGTGTTGTCTGTAAACTATCTGATTTGTGGTGTTTTGTTGTAGCAGTAGGAACAGACTAAAATCTTCATCAGAAAAGTGAAAGTTGTAGCCAAGTGTGGCATATTACTATCAAAGAAAAATTAATGAAGCAGTCACCAATATAAAACTAGAGTATGACCATCAGAGCTCAGGAAATATTTTTTGAGACAAGGGTAGAGGAGTCATCAATGAATGATTGGTGGTCAATGAGCAATTTTTCAAGGCAAACACAGGAGGTAACATTTGATTTTCATGCTACAGTTGCACTTGATACTACTGATCTCTCCTTGAATATTCCTCATTGGCTGATGAGACAACAGATTCTCTTCAGGTTTCCTACTACCATACTGGCCATTTTTTCTCAGATTCTTCGTCAGTTCCTCAGGATCATTCAACCTTTTGGTATAGAATTTTACTATATTTCTCAGAATGGTAGTGTTTCTTATAATCGATCCATATAAACAAGAAACATTGTGTATATACTATGAAAAACACTCGTACATCAGAGCAGCACTGAATCTGCTAGACCAACACACTACCACAAAACTACATCACTAGCCCAAGCACCTATTGCTTACTCAAAAGTAGTTTTCATGAAGCTCCCCCTTTCCCATTTTCCATTTGTCCCTACAAGTTTTGCTACTGTGTAATAATATGGGTCTCTATTTTTCTAGCTTCTAAATGTGAGAGAATTTCTATCAGTCAAAATTGATGTTCTAAGCTGAAAAACTATTGGCAGCTGATTACTGCTGGGTGAGAAAGAGCTGATCTTAGAGAGAGGGGCTCTAGATAAGCTGACTAGACCTCAGTGAATGAACTTGGACTACGGAACATCTGGGGACACTAACTTGTCACAATATGCCTTAACACACAAATGACAGAATGCATGAATTTCAGTGAGGTTGGGTATGGGAGGGGGTCAATGGGGAAGGGGGTATAAAGATGATTAAAATGTTCTATATGAAGTACACAAAAATTCAATTAAAAATTTACAAAAAATGTTCTATAAAAAACTTACATATTTGGCAATAACATCCTTGTTTTCACACTGAGCAATATCATACAGAATGACAGCACATCGAGAATGTAGTTCAGACTCATCAGAAACCAGTAGGTTGATCAAAGCAGGAATGCCCCCTGCCTCTACCAAAGCATGCACAACACTTACATGGGTTGAGATATTACTCAATAACCCAGCAGTTTTACACTGCAGTTTTATTCTGGGCCATTTTAAAAGACTGACTAATGCAGGAATGGTACCTGTAAAAAAAGACGGAAGTAAGTGTAAAATATTTGTAATACTTTGTAGTCAGTTTATCATGACAAAATTGCAACAATGTTCATGAGCATGACAATATAAATAATGGACAAATAGTTCTATAAAATACAGAAAAACAACTTGGAGTTATGTGAATACAGTTTTCTGTCTTATTTACAGGACAGCAGCTCTCAATGTATATTTAATTTCACATAAAACACAACCTGACACTTTATATTAGTAACACTAAACCATCTTAGAAACACTGAATTTTGGCCTGTGAGAATTGATAGGTAATTTTTAAAATTAGAGACAAGACCTCACTATGTAGTTCACAATATTACTGCCTCAGTTTTCCCAAGTGCTGGGATTAGAGGTGTGCATCAACATGTCCAGTAAATAAATTCTTTGAGTATGATATGGTAGAATTCTGCTCTGGGTATTGCATTATCTTTGTGTGGTGGTATTTGTGCAACTATCTGAATATGTTATTACTTTATCTTATACAAAAAAGTGAAAAATAAAAAGTACTGAATCTAGTAAAATGCAACATTAGTCCCATTAATCATAATAAGTTATTGGGCATAGTAAAGATAGTTGGATGCTTGTTAGATTTATCAGTTGAGTTGATAAAAACAAACCACATTGTAGAAGACAAACTTAAGTGCTGAAAATGGAATGAGTATAATTGATGCTCACTTATTTACTTATTTATGAAATGAAATGTCCTTAATATTGTAAATCTATAGTTTACTTTTTTTTTTGGAATAGAGCTTTTCTGCACAAGTTTTTAGTAATTCAATAGGGTACTACTTTTAGTTCAATAAATTTATAATTATTCACTCAACAATATTTATGGAGCATTTCATGTGTGCTCAATATGCACTTTAGGAAAGTGGTTACCCTATTGCATAGCTCTAATAGAACATTTATATCATTTTAGAAAGTTGTAGAAGACAGTGCTTCTTTCAAAACAATCCTACAGGGTTGATCCATTTGACTAATAAGGAAACTAGGTCAGAGGGAGTATGCAATTAATTTAAATTCTAAATGCAGAACTACTTACAAACCTGGTCTGACCTCTTCTAATTCTCAATTGAAAAATTAATTGGGCAAATGTAGAATAGAAATAATTTGTAAATGAAAGTAATTATAACAGTAGTGTAATGATTAGTTTTGTCAACTTGACATAATCTAGAATCACTTCAGAGTCTCAGTGAGGGACTGTTAGATAAGGTTGACCTATGAGCATATCTGTGGGAGATTGTCTTGATTACTAATATTAATTGACTTGCCCACTATGGGCGATGCCATTCCCAAGGCTAGGGATCTTGGGCTGAATAAGTGTAGAAAGGGTACTGAGCCCAAGAAGGCATGCATGAATGCATTAATTCATTTCCCTCTGTTCTTGACTGTGGGCAAGATGAGACTAGCTGGTTCAAGTTCCTGCCACCTTGACTTCCCCATAATAATGGATTGTAGCCTGGATTTGTAAGATAAACTCTTTCCCCTGTAAGTTACTTTTTTGTCACAGTATTTATCATAACCTAAGGCTCATGTAACATAGAACAAGGGGTAAAGAGAACACTAATGCATCTCTCAATTCTCGTCAATGAAGCTCCCTCATGCAAGAGAGGGGCAGGAACACAAATGGTCACAAATGGCCAAAGCATAGAGAATAAGAGTCTTCAGAGTATGGATCCTTGGACAGGACTCCTATGTTAAACTCTACCCACCCAGGACTCAGGGACCATTGTGGAAGAGGGGGCAGAAAGATTTTAAGAACCAGGGAGGAGGTGCATGACCATATGGAAATGGTCTTACAGGCTCCTGGAACCTTGGTCATATGAACCTACAGCAATGGTGTCAGCATGCACAACACCCATGCAAACTTAAGCAGAAAAAAACCCAGCACAGAACTGTGGAAATGGGCAGCAGGCCCCAATCTTAGTTGAAGAATTATTGACAGATGATTATGATTACTGCTGGTTGAAGAAGAGATGATCTTCTTAAGGGGGGGGTGGGGTGGGACTCTGGATGGGCTGACTAGACCCCAGTGGATGCACCTATACTGTGGGATGTCTGGGAATACTAGCTTAACATAATTGGCCCTGACACAGATAACAGAATGTATGAATTCCAGTGGGGGGGGGCACTGTGGGAGGGTTCCAATAGGGGAAGGGGGTATAGAGATGATTGTGATGCTCTGTGTGAAATACACAAAAATTCAATAAAAATTTTACAAAAAAAGAGAACATGGTATCAAAGTAAAATGATTTCAGCTAAAAAAATTAAACTATGGTAAAATCTTTTAATACTACATTTTACAATTTCAAGGTTTTAGAGAAAAAGACTTACTCTAAAATGTATATTTTTAACCCTGTGCAGCATTCACATGAAAAATAAAATATAAAGCAGGGAAATAAAAGAAGTGATCTTAGAGAAAAGGAAAAAGAAGCTTAATATCAACTAAGAAGTTTCCTTTATAATTAAAAATATTTTTAAGCAGGTATGGTTACACATATCTGTAAACCTAGGACTCAGAAGACTGAAGCAAGAGGATTACAAGTTCAAGACCACTCTGGGCTATATAGTGAGACACTGTCTCAAAAAAAAGCAGATATATATGCTTGTTTGTTTATATACATGTGTATATATATATATACATATATATATACACACATACACACACATATATATGAACTAGGATGTAGTTCAGTAGTTCAGTGGCACAGTGTATGCTTTGCTTCTGATCTTAACACCCATGTGTATGTATATATTAATACATATGTAATTATCTGTATTTATATCTAACATATATTAAAATGTTTAATGAATATAGTATAGCTCTACTTAAAATAGAACAAGAAAAGGATAATATATTTTGTATCACCTGCATCCAAGATACATTTCCAGTATCAATCATTTGCTAAGCAAATTACTTCTAAGGACATGACAGCCATCATCCTTCGTTTAAAGCTTTCACACTGCAACATTTCTGGTAAGTATTCAACAGAAAAACAAAGCTGTAATTTGCATAAGAGGTAATGGAATGACCTATTTTGTTTTCATGTAGGTAAGTGAACACAAGACTTGAGATCACCCCATCACCAACTGCATTCACTAAATTCCTGTCCTTTCATGGCCCTCTGTGAGATGCTGATTAAATTATGTATGTGCTATAGCTTGGATCAGGAAGGGTCCATGTTAAAGGTTAAGTCACTAGCTTGGTGCTACTGAGTGATGATGGCAATTTTAAGAGGTGGGGCTTAGTGGGCAGTCATTGGAAAAGTAGGCTTGAAGGGAATTGTGGAAGTCTGTCCCTTCCTCTTCCTGTCTCTCAATTTTTTCATAACTGTCATGAGGCAAATAGGCCATAGATCTCTACCATGTGCTCCTGCCCTAAATTGATACCTCATCACAACCAAAAAGCAAAGGAGTCAGCCAAATCTGGGAGCCCAAATAAGGCTTCTCTCTTCATAAGTTGATAATCTTGGGTATTTGAGATAGTAACAGAAAACCAACAGAATATGCTCATGAGCTTTGAGGTTTGTAGTTTATATAATTCCTGAAAAAAACTCCTGAAATTCTTTGTTCTCGGTCTGAATGGCTAAGATTGGCTGGACATATAAAGTTCACTTGATGGTGAAAATGTGCTGACTTTAGAGAAAGTTAGGAAACAAAAATAAATATAATTGTGTAAGATATAGTCAGTTTGGGTCATAGGCCTTTGATTTTTAAGTTAGAAGTAAAACTAGGGGACTAGAGAAATGGTTCAGTGGTTAGAAGCACTTTCCTCCTTTTGCAGAGGACCTGGGTTCAGTTCCCAGCATCCAGATGGTTGCTAACTCCAGTTCCATGGGCACTACATGGACATGGTGTACTTACACACATGTAGGCAAAACATTCATGCACATGACATAAAGAAACTCTAACTTTTTTAAAAAGTCTGAGTATATTGCCTGCATGCATGTAAATGCATCCATGTCATGCAGTTTTCCCATGGAGGTCAGAAGAGAACTTTGGATCCCCTGGAACTGTAGTTATGGACCATTGTTAGTCGCCATGTGGGTGCTGGGAATCAAACTCGGGTCCTCTGCAAGAGCAACCAGTGCTCTTAATTGCTGAGCCATCTCTCCAGTCCCTCAAACTGATTTTTTTTAAAGTAACAAAACTAATTTTGCACACAAAAGATAGCTCTGTTTCCTCTGTACAATTTCTGATTTTAATGCATAGAACACTTATTTTATGATTTTTAATTTTAAAAACATTTGTATTTTAAGGCAGACATGATGGCACGCACCTTTATTCCCAGCACTTGGGAGGCAGAGGCAGGTGGATCTCCGAGTTCAAAGCCAGCCTTGCCTACACAGTGAGCTCCAGCCCAGATGAGGCTACAGAGAGAGACCGTCTCAAAAAGACCAAAAAAAAAAGAAAAAAAAAATTGAAGTCTATGTTTTATACTCACCTACTAAAGTTTTCCAAACTGGGAGTTCAGGGATGTTTAACTCTATTATATGCTTTAGTACCTCTGTATGAAAAGTGAGCACTGATAAATGAATTATATTATTGCCTTTAGTATCTGTTTTTCTCCAGTTAGCGCCATGAGAAAACAGGTACTGAATAGTGTCCAGTGCTCCTGAAGTTGCAGCAAGTAACAGTGGGGTGCACTGATTCCTGAAAACCAAGGAACACAGTATAATGGCATTTAAGTACACACATAGTGTCAGTTTTACTTTTGCTGTGTTGTTGAAGGAACTCTGCCTTCTACCATTACCTAGTCTCTCTTTGAAGTATCATTTTCTATAATCCACATGTAAACAGACTTGCCTCCTTTGCCTAGCTGTCCTTAGAATTAGTCCCTAGCCTCTTTCTCAACTGAATTATCATGCTTATAATTTGTTGGGAAGTTTTTACTACACAGAGTTATTGAAATACACCTATCCCATCTATTCCTTATAATAGTTCTACAAGGGAAGTGAAAATAGTCAAATATTATCAACTCACTTTACAAATGATGAAACAGATTCAGATAATAGTTAAACACATTTCTTTATACTTTATATCTGATTTTCAAATTCTAGTTTCCTCACTGTATCAATGAAAGACCCAACTGACAGCAGGAAGGCCATTTTAGAAAAAGAACTGTAATCAGCCATTCGATAAGCCAAGATTCTAACCCAGGTCTTGTGAAACTAGCAGTGGAAGATAGGACGTTTGCAGTCGGACCACCTGGCACCACCCTGAAGCCCCTACCGGGAAGTTAGCGATAACAGCCTACTGGGAAGTTAACGATAACAATCGGTTTCACCCATAGCCCCCTCTGAATTTAGCAATACTGTTTCCTCATACCTTGTACCCATTGAAATGCACTAATAATAACCTTGTAACCATGCATCTGCTTCTGTACCTTGCTTCTGCTCTATAAAAAGCCCCCCCCAAACTAAGCCCGGCGCGCAAGTCCTGACCCGAGCGGGACTCTGTGTCTGCAGGCGCCTGTGTACGAATAAACTCCTCTTGCTTTTGCATCCCGAAACTTGGTTTTGTCCCTGTGTGTTAAGCACGATTCTTCATTTGGAGGTCCCACCGAGATCCCTGCCACGCAGCGCTGGGGACAACCCAGGTTTCCCAGGGAGGTAAGCCGGCCGGCCCTTTTGTGTGTTTTTGTGTGTTGTATGTGTATTGGTGTCTCTGTTTCTCTGTTTTTTTGTCTTGCTCTTTGTTCTCGGCGTGAGACTCACGGTCTGGTTTGGGGCGGTGGTGGACAGGGACTGACCAATACGTTTCTGAGGGATTCATTTGTCTGTTCGGAGGGGAAGAGGTACCTCCTCCATCTGGTGTCAGGCCCTCGATCTGGTTCACCAGGCGAGGGAGTGCAACATTTCTGTTTGCCGGCTGTCTGTGTCTCCTTTGTGTTGTATTCACTCTTGTTGTTGTCAACTCATTCCCAGTCACTATGGGACAAGATTTAACCACCCCTCTTAGCCTTACTTTAGATCATTGGCGCGAGGTGAAGACCAGAGCCTCCAATCAATCAGTGGAGATCAAGAAAAACAAGTGGACCGCCCTGTGTTCATCCGAGTGGCCCACCTTTGACGTCGGGTGGCCACGCGATGGCACTTTTGACTTGAACCTTATTTCCCAGGTCAAGGCGCGAGTCTTCAGACCAGGACCCTATGGACATCCAGATCAGATTCCATACATCGTCACTTGGGAAAGCCTTTCCTTTGACCCCCCTCCGTGGGTCTCCCCTTTTCTCTCTCCCAAGGCAGTCCCCCAGGCCCCCTCGGTGCCCTTGCTGATGGACCCCTCCCCTTCACTCTCACTCTGTCCTGTAGTGCTCAAAACCAAGCCTGTTATCCCCCCGATGATTCCGCTCTAAATCCCCTTCTCGAAGACTCTCCTCCCCCTTACCCGCCTCTGCCCCCCCGCGCCCGGAGCCCAGCCCCAGGTTCAAGCGCCCCCGGTTCTGGTTGTTGCGGCGATAGATCACACTCCCGGGACGTCCTCCCCGATTGCTGGGAGGTTGCGAGAGCGAAGAGGACACCAAGGGGATTCTTCTCACATACTTCCTCTCTGGGTGGGACCAGGGCCGGGCAACCAACTTCAGTACTGGCCCTTTTCCACCTCTGACTTGTATAACTGGAAACAACATAACCCGCCCTTCTCCCAAGACCCTGTAGCCCTAACTAACCTCCTGGAGTCTATCCTTCTAACTCACCAGCCCACCTGGGATGATTGCCAACAGCTCCTCCAAGTCCTCCTCACGACAGAGGAGAAACAGAGGGTCATTCTGGAAGCCCGTAAACAGGTTCCCGGGGCGGATGGAAGACCCACCCAGCTGCCCAACGAAATAGAAGCTGCTTTTCCCTTGACCAGACCAGATTGGGACTTCACTACACCTGAAGGTAGGGGACACCTACGCCTTTATCGCCAGTTGCTCACAGCGGGCCTCCGAGCAGCGGGGCGACGCCCCACCAATTTGGCCAAGGTAAGATCAGTAGTACAAGGGCAGGAGGAGTCACCGACGGTATTCTTAGAGAGACTAAAGGAAGCATATCGGAGGTTCACCCCCTTCGATCCAGATAGCCCTGAGCAAGAAGTGAGTGTCTCTATGTCCTTTATTTGGCAGTCTGCCCCTGACATTAAGGTGAAGCTCCAAAGAATGGAAAACCTACAGGGACAGAGGTTACAAGATCTACTCAGGGAAGCAGAAAAAAATTATAATAAAAGAGAAACTCAAGAAGAAAGAGAAGAAAGACAAAGGAGAGAGGCAGAGGATAGGGAAAATGCAAGAGACAAGAGGCGAAACAAGGAATTAAGCAGGATACTGGCCACTGTAGTGAGAGACAGGGAAGAGTCTAGAGGAGATAGGAAAGGAGGCAGAGGCAGGGCCCCATTAGACAGAGACCAATGTGCCTACTGCAAAGAGAAAGGCCACTGGGCAAGAGATTGCCCTAAAAAGAAATCAAGAACAAGAGAGTCCACTCTCCTAACCCTCGACTAGGGGGGTCGGGGCCAGGACCCCCCACCTGAGCCCAGGGTAACTCTTCGAGTGGGGGGCAAGCCAGTTACCTTCATGGTAGATACCGGTGCCCAGCACTCGGTTCTCACCCACACCACCGGACCCTTCAGCAAAAAGACGTCATGGGTTGAAGGAGCAACTGGAGCCAATCGATACCGATGGACTACCAACCGAGAAGTGCAACTGGCGACAGGTACAGTGACCCACGCTTTTCTATACGTGCCAGATTGCCCTTACCCACTCCTGGGAAGGGACCTCCTGACCAAGCTAGGAGCCAAGCTACAATCCTAAGCTCTTTGAATGTTACCCTCCTTTGTGATCTGGAAATCTTACAATCCAGCAAAGCCAGAGATCCTGAGGAGGTCTCTGAGATCCTGCTCCAGCATTATGGTCAGTGTCTGTTCTTATGGGTCAATGTCTGTGTACCACCTCTGAAAATTTAGACAGTTTACTGTTTGGGTTCTCCTTCCTTTTATCAGGACCTTTATTAGAATGCTCCTTTGTGTCTTTAATCACCTTGGCAGGACCACCCTGTGAAGGCATCCTTATGAAAGGTAGCCTCAGATATGATGGACTCAACAGATCAGATCCTAGGCCATGAAGCTGCTGATGGAAACAGCTTCATTATTAAAAGTAAGCAGGAGTCCTCTGCCCTTAGTCATAGAGGATTTGTGCTGCTTCCTATCACAATCATATTTCCTCACTCCCATCCTCCAAATAAAGATTAGTTTGTAGACCAGTCCTGCCTGGACTCACTATGTAGCCTAGGCTTGTCTCCAAGGTAATCCCCCTGATCCAGTCTTCTGAATGTTGGGATTACAGGTGTTCACGACCAAGCCCAACTACAACCACATTTCTTACTGATGTTTCACTGAATGAGCCAAAGGATTTCATGGTTTTGACTTCTCAATCTATACCTCTAACCCTGATCATGTTCTATAATTTGACTTCTATATCTATAAATTTATATATATGGAAATTGACATATAGATTTGTGAATCTTAAAGTTGCCTATTGCTTTTTAGATGGTTCCTTAGTCCCACCCCTTCTCTAATAAAAGTCCTAGTTAAATTTGTAAAAATGGGCAAAAAGCCAAATCCAACTTTTGTCAGGATTATCAGGGCTCTGACACTGTTAAGAACCTTTACCTACTGCTGATTCATAACTTCCATGGAGCTCAGGTATTCACAAAGCTCCTGACATCATATTGATCAGGAAGGTCAAATTATCTTAGTTTTCCAGGTATGCACGGCCAATTCAATAATAAAGAGACATCCTCTGACTTGTACAATGTTCTCTGCCATCTTCCAATGCTCAGTGAATAGAATACAAGGACAACTTCCAGGATGAAGTGTTGAGGGCTATTAAAATATTTAGATTAATTTATATTTTGTTTATATGACCTGAACTTGCCTTAGGGGTCCTAAAAAACTGATAATTTGGGATGAAATGTAACACTTTTAATAAATTTGCCATGCAATACTCTTTTTACAAATGTATTTACATGATACCCAATTATGTAAATTGGGCATAAAAACTGACATTTTTGGGTAAAATGTAACAGTTTTAATAAATTTGCCATGCAATATTCTTTTTACAAATGTATTTACATGATGCTCAATTATGTAAATTGGGCCATGATGGCCTTTTAGAGAAAACTACCAAACCAATCAAAGGAATTCAGAAATTAATGTAAGTCACTGTATTTTACTGGCAACATTTTGTACTTCTTGACACTAATCACCTAAGCAAAGATCCAAACAAGAACTGATAAAATGATTTAGCTGGTAAAGGAATTTGCTGCCATGCTTGACAACCTGAGTTTGGTCCCCAGGACACATATAGTGGATGGAGAAAACCTATTCCAGCAAGTTGAACTCTGACTGCCACATGCAAGCCATGACACCTGCACACATGCATGTACATGACAGACAGAGGCAGAAAGACAGATAGACACACACACATACACACACACACACACACACACACACACACACAGTAATTTAAAAAATGTTTCCAAACAATAAGACACTGTGATTAGGTTCCAGTTTTAGCTGTAACCATTTAGAGTCCAGTGACTCCCAAGCCAAGGCACTTTGCCTCCAGTCAAACGGCATGATGTCTACTCTACCAACATTGCTGATTGGGTAATTCTCTCCTATAGAAAGGAGAATTTCTGCCTTATATCCATTACCTTTATAACCTGATCTCAACAAAAGTTGATTGCCCTGCAAGGAAATGAGAGAAATTAGCTATCTAGGTTTGAGATATGGAGACACAAGCTCCGTAGGACTAAACTTTGTAAATACACTAAGGCTTCAGAGCCTGAAGCAAGACATCTGGCAAGCTGTCCCAGAGAGGGCGAGATAGGTTGTCTCCCTGTCATCAGACAAATCTTACTTCAGGTATTTGAACTTCACATTGTAGGCACAGGTACAGTCCATAGCATTGATAGCAAATATGTTTCAGGCCCTATGTGAGATTCAAAAGTGTTTAATGGTATGTAGTGATGGTCAGGAATTGACATCAAATTGGTAACTTTTGTACCTAGACACCATCCTGCATGGATACCTTTGAGCATTACCTACAGAAAATTTTATTTGGCCTGCATCTGTAATGTGCACTTTCATATGAAAGTACCTGTGATGCCCTTTCTAAATACTATAGTCACTTACCCACTGTTAAACCCCTCTGGGACACTCCTGCTAGATTTAATACTCAATCTGATCCACCTACAGTAATAGTAGAACCCTTCTAATCATGAACAATACTCTTCCCCATGTGATTATTTACTGATTCAACTCAATTTACTTAATGCAATTTAATCAGTGTTTGCTGATGTCTATTATGTGCCAGAAACTGTTTTAATAGAAAAGAAATAAGTAAGATGGGCAAGGGTCCTATTTACATGGAGCTTGTACTCAAGTTTATTCTGTGCTTATTCTTAACAGGTGAACTTATCTTTATATATAAGCAAGAAATAAGTTCAATGAATATTTTTTAAATGGACAAATAAGATGAGAGTGCTTTATAAGTGTGTATGTGCATATAATTTTTATTTACCTATTGTATTAGTTATTTTTCCTTTTGCTGTGATAAAATACCCTGACAAAAGCAACTGAAGGAAGAAAGAAAGGGTTTATTTTGACTCACAGTTTGAGGGCAAAGTCCATCATGATGGAGAAGTAAGTCCTGGTGCCAAGAGCTTGAGGCAGCTAGTCTTATTGCATCCACAGTCAGGAACAATGAATGCTTGAACGCAGCTCACTTTCTCCTTTATATACAGTCTAGGATCCCATCCCAGGGAATGGTGCCACCCATGTGGCACCATTGTATGGATCTTTGTACCTCAATTATCTAATCAAGATAATCCTCTATAGGCAAGCTCAGAGGCCTGGATGCTAGATGATTCTAAATCTCATCAGGTTGACAATTGATATTGACTATCATAATTATAAATGTTAGGGAAGAAAATAATAAGGAAATCTAACACGTCAATGAACTAGCTTACCATATTGTGTTTTTATTTGATTTGGGGGGCAGGGTCAGACTTTGTAACTCAGGCTGGCCTACAACTGGCTAAGTAGTTGACTGGGCTCAAGGTCCCCCAGTCCTCCCCTGGGATCACCAACCATACCTGGCTTCAGCTTAGCAGGTTCATTGCATTGTTCTGATTATAAGTCTTCCTTGCTTTACTGAGAAGCTAAGAAACAACTAATTTACTTTTCAAAGTATTTTCTTTAGTGACCAGATCTACATGGACAAACTAGTTTTTTTCCAGACAACATTCTCAATGATTATATGTCCATTTTAGATAAACATGGCCTATTTCCACTTGATTCATCACTAAAAGCTTCAGGTACCAACTTTAGCCACAGAAGAACTAGATAACTAGGAAAAACTATTAACCTTTTCATACCTCAATAAATTTATGTAAAATCCTCTTCCCATATTAAGATTATATGTAAAAATAAACTGAATAAAGACTGAAATATACTTTTTAATATCAACCATGATGTATGACCAATTTATATGCATAATGCAAATCAGTAGATTTGTTCTCATAATAGCAAAGAAAGAGCCATCTAGGTGGTGTCTCATTCCTGAAGGAATGAAGCCTTGCTTTTGCAGCTTCAGGCATGATAGAACTATTGCTGTGCTCTATCTGCCAATGAAATTCCAATACATATTTATAAAAATTGAGATTTATTTTTCAAGCCCATGTACTAAAATTATGGAAATCAATTGAGAAAGCTATTATATTATAGTTCAATGAAAGCTGTTGGCAGCAGTAGCTGGAGGCATGTATGTCCTCTTTCACTCCTCCTTCTACTTGGCCTGCTACAAAGTTACTGTGGGAAAAAGCTATGATTTAAAAATGTATATAAGCTGAAGTGGACACACCAGATTTAAGAAGCATCCATTTTTTATATTCAAGCTATAGAAAAGCATAACCTTGAAAATGGAAGAATTTCAAAATTACAGGAACTAAGAATAAACACTTAAAACAATGCTACACAAACACCACCAATCCCTGATTGCTATTGCATGTTTATCCTTAACTTGGATTTTTATATAGATCTTTTTTCTAGGCTTATAATGCTGTGATGGGGAAAGTTAACCAATATAGTAATCATATTTTTTTCAAGTTTTTTCTCACTACTCCCTATTCTATTATTTTCTTGAATTTATTACCATTTTTCCATTTTAGGCTTTGTAAGATTAAAAAGTATAAACTGAAGACTGGGAAGATAGCTCAGTTGGTAGAGTGCATGTGGTACAACTATGAGAACCAGGATTTTATTTATCTATTCATTTTAAATGATTTTCATTTTATATGTATGTGTATTGCCTGCATGCATGTATTCAATGTTTGCAGAAGTCAGAGAGGGTGTTAGAACCCCTGGAACTAGAGTTATGAATGGTTGTTAGCTGCCATGTAGGTGCTAGGATTTGAATCAGGGTCCTCTGCAAGAGCAGCCAGTGTTCTTAATCACTGTGCTACATCTCCAGCTCTGAGAATCTGAATTTTTCAAAAAAAAAATTTTATTTTATGAGTGTTTTGCCTGCATGTATGTAAGTCTACCACATACGTATCTGATACCAGTGTTCAAGGTTATCCTATCCTTATCTATATAGTGGCTCAACGGCCAGCCTGAACTACATGAGACCCTGTCTCAAAAATAAATAAACTGAAAACTCTCTATTGGGTGGTTTGGAATCTGATCAATTAAGATTAAAGAGGTAGAATACTTAAGTTTATGAAAGGCATTCAGAAATTTATAACAAGAAATGATGGTTATATAAAGTGATTCATAGGTAAATTACTCTTAAATTTTAAAGTGGATTATAATAAAAATAATTAAGAAGTGCTGAGTTCTCTTACCTGCTGAACTAAACTCTGAAAAAATATCTTTAGTTGTTTGAGGCTTCCCATCAGGATCAATGTCCATGATTGTGTGCCATAATTCAGAGAATCTGGCTCGTCTCTCTTTGGGCATGTATATCCCATGCCACAGTGCTTTTAGCATATAGTCAACATAGATCAGAATTTGTCCAATTCTAATATCATAATAAGCTGGAGGTAATTGACAAGAAGAACTCTGATCATAATTAGCTTATAAACTGATGGAAGGGATTTGGTTTAAGCAATAAATTCCAACAGCCAACTCCCTCAAGATCTGATGGACTTCCCTGTAGTCTAAGAGAGCTGTGGGGTCCACAGGCATCAATAGGATGGCAGTGGAGAAGCCTACATTATTCATTTGACTCATGATTTCACACGGGAAGTCTAGCTGAGAATGAACATCCTCCTTGGCAGACAACCAGCTAACCAGTGTGGTAGTTAGCAATTCTTGCACTTCGCTGCGATCATATTTTTCAAAGAAAGCAGAGGCATTTCTCTGTACTGCTAAGTTTTCCAGGTAGGTTTCTTCATCTTCAACTTGATCAAATCTAACTATTCCTTTTTTGGATATTCTTAACATTTCTAATTAAATCTAGTGTGTCATTTTCGAAGTTTCTGCTGTGAAGAAAAAGGAAAAGACAAGCAATAGTATTTGTCATGGCAACGAAGCTGGATTTTTCTAGAAATAAACAGATACCTTTCATCTTTCTAAAGTTAATCTTTTCATAGTCAATTACTTTTTAAACCTCCAACTAATTGCAGCACAAGGAAACTGAAATTTGAACTGAAATAATTGAGATTGTAGTTCTTGAGCATGAATCATGCTCTGCTTTTCAAAGAGTTCAGAGTTACTGAGAAGTATACTTAATGCTATTTAATACTATTTCTGCTAACATTAGACCACATGTATGGTGGTTCTGTAAGATTACATTGCTTAGAGATATGATGGATATCTTAGTGTGGGCAAGAACATTCTATAATGTATATGCAACAATGAAATAGCTTGACACACTTCCCATTATTAAACGACAGGTGTCTATGTGTCAGAAAAATGTTAAGTTTATATGAGAACCTTCTGCTATATACTTTTTTGTATAGATATCTTTGGTTTTGTTCATTCTTTTCTCCTCTTTCTTCTCCCTTTCCTCTCCTTTCTCTTCTCTTCCCTCTATAGTCCTGTCCCCTTCCCCTACTAACCTGAGCCTTATAGCCCTCTCAGCTTCCCTCACCATCCCATGCTCTGGAGGTTCTGGTGGGGGCTTTCAGACCCATTGAGAAGCCATTCCAAGCAACGGCTGTCCCCTCCTATGAATACCCTAGTGACCCTCCTTCCCTCATGTGGTGTTTCAACTCAAGGCCTCACACATGCTAGGAATACTGTACTACTGAACTATACCCCAACCCAACTTCTAGTTTCTCTGCAACTTAATGCCTGCTTCCAGAATACTAATGATTACTTTGTTGAACATCTACTATGTGGCAGGCTTTTTATACATATTTTTACTTATTTTATGCAATCAGCCTCTATCATACAATGATTCTCAAAATTTAGACATTGTCAAAATCACCTGAGCCTTCTTAAAACACATGTTGCTGGAGCCCAGAGCATGGGCAGAGTCTATGAATTTCTGTCAAATCACAGGTGAAGTGGACACTGAATACAGACCCCAGCTCAGCAGAAAAATCAACAGTTCTGCTCACTTTACAGAACATGATGGAGGGGTTCACACATTTTAGAACCAGAGCCCCTATTTTTCTATTCATAACTAAACTTCAAGACTTGTATTCACAGTCAGCATCTGCTAAGGGCAAGGACAAAGAAAGGGGAGAGGCTTACTTGGAAATGATTTTCTTGTCTAGGAGAGGGAAGTTGCATCCATGATGGTCACCAGGGTATTCATAGGAGGGGACAGCTGTTACTTGGAATGGCTTCTCAATGGGTCTGAATGCCTCCGCCAGAACCTCCAGAGCATGAGATGGTGAGGGAAGCTGAGAGGGCTGTTCCTGTGATGAGGGCTACTCCAAAGAGGTGGGACCCCCTGGGTACCCCCCTGCCTCACCTCAGACAGCAGATGCTGCCCCTGAGCCTGGTGAAGCTGGTCTAGGGCCTTGGGGTGGGCAGGGCTGGCCTCAGGCAGAGGCTGCGTGTGGGCTGCATGTGGGCTGTGCGTACCGCTGTATATACTGCACCTCCGCCCACAGCCTTGTGGTCACTCACCACAGCTGAGGTTATTCACACGAGGACGAGTCGTCTATCGTCACTCCAGAACTCAGCTGAGCATCATGCTCTGTCACCGTGCTACTCTGCTCCTGCTAAAACACACATACAAGGTGGCACGAGTGAAAACGTCAGGCTTTGAGCCCTGATTTGGAATCCTACGTTCATCATCATTCATGCAATAAACATTCACAGAACACCAATTATGAGCCAGGGACAGTGCCAGAGGCTAAAGACCCTAGAAACAGGATTAACAGCAAAACCCCATGGAGTTTAGAAGCATACTCAATGTGTGCTTGCTAATGTGCTATGGGTCAGATGTAATGACAGCACCTAGAAAAGGTGGTAACCTCAAAAAGGCTGCCTGAAGGAGTGACTTCTAAACGAGTCTGGAAAATGAAAACGTTATTTTTCCTTTTTTATTGAATTTTTGCGAATGTCATACATTTTGATCATGTTTGGATCCCCAGATCCCCCATCTGTACCCTCCCTTACTACTCTGCCCAATTCCATGTAGTGTGTGTGTGTGTGTGTGTGTGTGTGTGTGTGTGTGTGTGTGCCGATAGTCAAATTTGTGTCCCCAAATGTCTTTCGGTGTAGATCCATCCACTGGAGCCTGGTTAATCTACCAAGAGTCACATCCTTAAAGATACCGACTCTCCCCTTCCCAGCAGCTATGGGATGCCAATCATTCCTCAGGTAAGGCTCCCCACTTCCCTTCTATGCTGGGATTTTGTCTGGCTTATGTGGTACTCATGAATGCTGTCACCATTGCTGAATTCATAGAGTAACTTCCCAGCCATCTGGAAAACTGTTTCCTTATGGTTACCCACCACCTCTGGCTCTTAAAATCTTTCTGCCCCCTCTTTCACAATTATCCCTGGGCCTTTGGAGGCAGAAATTTGATATAGGTGTCCAATTCAGGGATAAGCACTCTACAATCTCTTATTCTCTGCTCATAGGCCAATTGTGAATTTTAAGCATAGTCCAAATGATTGGGCTAAGGTGGTAGCAAGGAGGTTGGGTGCCGACCAGGGGGTGTGGGCAACAGAGAAAAGAGTTGGGTGCTGTGGATGAATTTCAGCCATGAGGTAGGTTATTGGTAACTGAATATACATGGAATATATTAGAAAAGGTATCAGGGTGACTCTTAAGCATCTATCAAGAGCTACATGTGTCAAAACACTCGAGTTCAGCTGTGGACAAAATTCACCTTCAAGTGCCTGATGCAAATAGACATTTCAGGTATGCCTTTTAGGTGTTGGGTGTAGGCTAAGAATGGTAGCTGGTGTGAGATGTCTAAAATTGTTTAAGCTTATGATCCCTGAAGAGAGAAGAGTTACTAAAATCACCAAAGGAATCCATAATGTTGACATCCAGGACAGAAACCTATGAAGTTTAACAGTAAAGGTCAGTAGAAAGGGCAGAGTTAGCAAAGACAATGAAAAGATGGACAGCCAGGAAGGCATGAGGAAAACAGAGGTGGTCAGAGGCCAAGGTAACCGTTTCAAGAATAAGGGAATGGCCAGTTGTTTGCTGCTGCTGTCAGGTCAGGGGAGGTGGAAAATTAACTCTTCCCCTGAATTTTACATTGAACATTGGGGCTCTTTTACTATGCCATTATTTTAGGTACCATGGAAATACTAAGAAGCATATGATAGCTGTTCCAGACCAAAGTATATCAAAGCATCACTGCCTTCAAGGGATTTTCTTGTTTGCACTTATGAAGTATGAATCATATGTTTAAATTCTTCCAGTTAGGAATATTTTGTTCAGACCTGGGTATGGTGGCACAGGTCTTTAATCCCAGCACTTGGGAGGCAGAGGCAAGAAGATCTATGTAGGCCAACATGGTCTACATAGAGAGTTCCAGGCCAGTTAGGCTACAGGGAGACCCTGCCTCAAAAAGACTAAAATAATAATAATAGTAATAATAATTTTTTTGTTCAGGTAGACAAATAATTTGTTCTGTGTGTTTTTAGTGGAAAAGTTAGGCCCTTAAAGATAAACATAGAATTTTACCCCGAAGCTCATGGATTAAGTAGCATGAACATTATAAATAAGCAGGCCCTCTGTGGGTTACATGCAGGCATACACACATACATAAGGCATACAAGCTGAAGTAGATGACCTAGAACCCCCTTAAGTTCAACTGATTGAATTAATACATACAATAACTCATAGAACAATGCTTAGAAAGGAGCAATACATAGTTTTTTAAAAAATTTTTATAGTTGCTGTGGCAACTATCAGGTTCAGTTCTTAAATTCATCTATTTCTGACATAAGCAAAGTAAATTTAGTGCTCAGGATCACACACATACTTTAAACTCCCTTCACATAGCAGGTAATATCTAAGACTGAATGAGCAGTGCATTCATCAGGGAGTAAACTCAAGGCATGTGAAAGCTTTTATTAGATTTGTCAGTATCTTAGCATTTCTTCCTTGCTATGAAAAAGAATCAGAAAGGGCTACAGCCTTAAATGAAGATAGATCACAAAGTGATATAAGGTGATTAATGATTGGATAATGTGGGGTGATGCTGAGTTTCAGTGATCAATTAAAAAGATGAAATCAGTGAATGGGGATAGGCAAGAGCTGCTCAGCAGATTTAGGACCAAGGATGTGCATTTTAAATAGGTACAGGCTATTAATTTGATGCAGAATTCAGTGACAGAGAATAAAAGCCTTTTGATGAGTAGATGAATATTCTGTTTGTAACGGCAAGAAAACAATGGTATAGATAAAATAAGTTAGAAGTTCTGGTTCTGGAAGACACTAGGGGCTTGGATGCAAGTACACACTTAAGGATACAAGGTCTCCAAAGAAATCTTATACCTTTGCTTTTGGATTTCCACTTATCAGAACTTTGAGAAATATATTTTTATTGTTAAAAGAAGAGGCAATTCTTTGCTTAACACATCTCTGTGAAAAACCCAGACTTTAATCTCTGAAAATCCCAGGCCACAAGCTAAGAATAGGAAAGAGAGGTAGTGATTTGTAGGACAGGAGAATGTTTAAAATAGTTCTTAAAACTTTCTGAAGAGGAAAAATTAGCTGTGACAATAGTATTAAGTATTGCTCAGGAGTATGAACCTCAATTATTTTTTTGCATTTTTATTGAATTTTTGACATTTCCATACAATTTACTTTGATGACATTTATATCCCTGCTTCCATCCATACGGCCCCCCCCCAATTCAAAGTACTTTCTCTGTATAATAAAGCCTATAAAGTCTAACTTGAATCCCCAAATGTTCTCCAGTGTGGATTCATCCACTGGAGCTTGCATAGGACTTGTTCATGCTGTCTCCATTGCTGTGCGTTCATATGGATATCTGAACAGCTGTCTGGAAAACTCTGCTCCCCCCGCTCATGGTCATCCACCACCTCTGGCTCTTACATTCTTTTCACCTTCTCCTCTGCAGTGATTCCTGAGCCTTGAGCTCCAGAAGCTGACAGGCGTCCCACTCAGATATAAGCACTCTGTGGCCCCTTCCTCCTGGCACATTAGAAAGCCGTTAAGTTTCTGTGTCAATCACCATCTGCTTCATGAAGAAACTTCTCTAGTGAGAGTTGAAAGATGCATTAATCTTCAACAGTGGGTGAGCACCTGAACCAGCACCGTCCAGTTTGATCATCCCTCCTGGGACTGGGAGTTCATATTATGTGGGTGCCACAGTTACATCTCACAGGAGGGAACCACAGCTCCAGGTCACAGGAGAGGACTACAGCTTTATCTCACAGGAGACCTCAGCACTGGTCACTGGAAAGGACCACAGTTCCAGCTCACAGGAGAACCATAGCTCCAGATCACAGGAGAGGACCACAGCTTTATCTCACAAGAGGGGAACCACAGCTCCAGCTCACAGGAGAGGACCAGGACTCCAGCCCACAGGACAGGACACAGCTCCAGCTCACAGGTGGGGTCCAAAGCTCCAGTCCACAGGAGAGGAACCACAGCTCCCACTAACAGGAGAGGACCACAACTCCAGCCCACAGGAGGGGAACTTTGTAAAAATTATTTTTTTGTGCATGAGTGAGTGTACTGCTTGTATATGTTTAAGTGCATCCACATCATGCAATGTCTGCAGAGGTCAGAAGAGAGCAGGACACCCTAGCCATTTTTTCCTATGGGCCACACACCTCCTCCTTTCTCGGTTTCGATTTGCTGCCACATAGGGTTTGCCACTGGGGCATGGCTCCACCCCTCATCCCAGGGTGCCCTGTGTCTGGAGGAATGAGTCAGAGGAGTATTTTTCAGGCTACAGTCAGATCCGAGTTTGAAGGGCTCAGTCCTGTAAGATTGGCACTTTGTATACCAAGGGATACCTGGGTAAGTTGAAGCCCCTGGTGCTTCTATCCAACCATTTATAAATCAGAGGCTCTCACAAACCCCTCCTCAGTTTTGATAATTTGTTTATAAAACTTAGGAATTTACATTTAAATGACATAAGACAAGAACAGCCAGATGGAAGAGATGCAAATGGCAAGGTATTGGGGTAGAGGTGAGAAAGCACACTTCCACTCCCCATCTATGAGTCCTACCCTCCTAGGACCTTCATACATTCAGCAAACTGGATTCATCGTTTTTTTTTTTTTTTAATTAGAAGAAGCATTTCATTACAGCTTTAACATTCAGTAAAGTAACACATTCCAGATCAAGGATACATGTCTTTCAAAAGTGGCTGTAAATTTTTGGGTTCACAGTTGAATTAATTCATCACATCTTAAAGAGTTTCATGTAGTTTCATGTCCAGCCCACCTCAGGTGGCCACATTTTTAACTCTAAATACTTGGGCTTTCTGGTGAAACTCCTCCATCTTGAGGCTATGTAGGGAACCCTACCTAACTCAATTCACATGTGATCAAAGGGAGCTCAGTGTAAGTAGCAGGACAGTGAGTGCTATTATATAAGAAATTCTAACTTTTAGAAGGGCTGTGATAGGAAGTGTAAATACTCATGCAATGAACATAAAACTACTAAGTAACATAGCAACAAAGCAAGTCTTTTATTTTTGAATAACTGTCACTCAGGAAATACTGTTACACTGTAAAAATCACATTATGATTTAATCTTTTTAGGAGAAAGGTTTTCTAAGGAAATATTTGGAGCCTTTCACATTTATCAGATGCCTTTTCATTATTTTTTTCCAGTTTTGCAATTCTAGATCCAAACTGCATGGCCCGTTTTGGCAACAGAGCAGAGGCTGTAAGACCAAGTTCCACAGCTGCAAGACGTAAAATTAGCTTTTCACCAACTCCACGGGGTAAAGCCAAATTTGTCTTCTCCCAAACTGGCAGGGAATTTAGAAAAGAGACAACATTCTCATCCAGGAAAGGAAACCTAAAATTAATAATAATTAAAAAAAAATAATTTAAGTACTATACAAAAAGAAACGCTGCTAACGATTATTTACATAATTTAATGGCTAATTTAGCCACATTAAAAAGTATTTCAAAATGTGACAATATATACATTATAAAATAATCTAAGTCTAAATAAGTTGTCTATGGCATCAAGAAATAATTTCAAATGGTTTCACAAGGTATCTTTGAAGATGCTCTGACAATAAGGATGTCATTAGTTAAATAATCTAATCTGTCTCATCTTTATCATGTCTACAGGGATTGAACTTTAAGAGCATGAAAGCAATATAGAAAGGTTCCAAAATCTTGGGACTTATTACAATTAAACTGTTCAAGTAGCAAAAAATTGATAAATACACAGCAAATACTAAAGCCCTTTTGCTTTTTTACTTTCCTACAAAATTCTATGTTTTCTTATTTGGAGGGAGATTGTTTAATATTTTACCATTTCCTCTTTAACCTCCCATCAGTACTCAAAAATGCAATATAGTTAAACTGCATTCTTCATATGTAATTTTATGAGTATAGCATATAACATATTAATATGAGGCCTTTGTAATTAACTGCTTTCACTAGAAAGAAATAAATCTCCTCCTCTTACATCTTCTTGAGATAATGGATTAAATTTCCTTGTTCCTTTTCCTCAACCTTTGACCCTTTCTCTCTCACATTCTTCAAAGGGAGAGCAATTTATGTACTTTGCAGTATAGAATTAGTTATCTATTTATAATCATGGTTCAGTGGAAAAGGAAAAGCCCAAAGTCAAAGCAGGGGACTAATTCTCAGAGAGGGAGCTAGAGTATTATGATGTTCCAGTTCAGATGAGGCTGACTCACCCTCCTTGTTGACTGGGGAACGTTTTTTAACAAAGTACCACTTATTAATCGACTACTTTAAATAGAGTTCCACTCTTAAAGTTTTTTGAGATACAGTCTTACTATGTAGACTGGCCTCAAATCCAGGATCTACTGGACTCTGCCTGCAGTGTGAACTCCATGCTCAGCTGAGGAGCTCTAAGTACCTCCATATTATCATCATATGCTGTAGGCAAAAATAGAAACAAAATTAGAAAAGGATGTATTTATATATATGAAAGTTTCTTGATCTCTGTGAAAATTTTAGATAATTTTTAAAGCATGACTAAATTATGTTCACAAACATGCAACAGAGGCAAATCCACTACTGGGACCTCCATTCACATCAGTAGTATCACCACAGGCAGAAATACCCTCACAGGCAAAGCCAGGTTCTACAACATTGGAGAAAGCCAATGTGGGGTGAAACAAAACCCTTAAACTCCTTTCTCTTGGAAAAACACTATCTGTTTTACGTCTATAGACTTTTTCATTGTGGTCATAAAGGTAATCACTACTATATCATCTTAGGACATGACTGCAAAGATACTTCTTGAGAGCGGAAACAACTGCTCCCCTGGCTCGTCCAGCTTTCTTTGGACTGAGTGTCATGCTCTTGTTACTCACGGACCACTCTCCAAAGAAAAGAAACTTAGTCTTTGTAGTCTACTATTTTCACTAAAATAGCAGTTAAGTAATAAGGACTTACCTTGCTTCTTTCCCATGATCACCAATAACTCTGTCATCACGACCAAGGTTTCTGGAAGAAATTCGAGCCAGTTCCATTGCTATTTCCTTGTTCAATCCTTCTAGTCCACATGACTGAAAGCGGATGCGATGACGAGAATAACCTGCCAGCTGCTCATCTGCACCAATTCCAGTGAGAATTACCTACATTAAGTTGAAAGATCCATATGAAGACATAACATGGTACATGAAAGAAAGTAAAATTACCTTTTTTCCCCTGATAAAAGTCTAAAAACTGAATAACCCTAACATTTTGGGAGAAAAGTTATAGACAGTAGGGAAACTAAAGAAAAAAAAAAAAAGCCTAATTCTTACAAGACTAACACTGTATTATGAAAATGAAATGAAAATACACTACATTATTGCAACTTTCAACACCAAAACCATCAAGGGTTAAAATTAGGCCTCAGAAATTCTGGCGTATACCTTTGCACTGCTCTGGTAGGACTGTGCTTCATCCTGGGTCACTACACAACCGATTCCTCTAGAAGCAAACCAGACTGCACAACCAATGCTGTCATCCAAAACTGTGCCCAAGGGCTGAACTAAGTGGCGTATCTGAGTTCTTCTTATTTTCTGTAGTTCTTCAACAGAAACATTAATTTCAACAAAATTCCAAGTTCGAGAAGGGTTGAGAGATTGCAGCTCCTTTAATCCCGCTCTTCCTGTAATTCTATCTGGTACATTAGCATCAGGACTAGCATCAGCAGCAACACTCTTAGAGAAGTCTATGTCACAATGGTTTTGCTGTTTACTTCTTTCTTTACTGCAAACAGTTAGCCTGGTCTTTTCTTTATTCACAAAAGCCACATTTAGAAGATCAATTGGCTCAGCTAAAGGAATATGACGATCAGCAAGGGCTGCAATCACCATGGAATCAATGCCTCCAGAAAACAGGATTGCAACATATGCTTTCCTACTGCAGGTTTTCAAAACTTCATTTGGTTCCAGGGTTTCATCCCTAGCTAAATATAAGACGCGTCTTTTGACTGCAACACTCAGCACATCAATGAACTGCTGAACCACTTTTTTTGTGTGTCCATCTGTAAGAAAGACCTCAAGTGTCTCTCTTGTAGGTAGAATGCTAGAACTGTTTCTGCAGTGAGTTTCCAAAGAAGCTTGAGGCAACATCATATTTAAGGGAAGAACAGGTTTTTTGAGATATAGTTTGGCTTCACTTGTGACCACTGATACAAACGTTGGTACGTCTGCTGAAATCTGGGTCAGGTTATTAGCACATTCTTCAGTAACGTTCTCCTTACCAATATATTTCCAAGGATATAATTTTAAAACCACACATCTTGAAATAGCAGCAGAATTGAGATCAACTTGGAAAATCCCAGATGCTGGGACTTCCTGCCACTGATCTGCAACTCCAGATATTCGGGTGCCAACTGAAGAGAGGCAGAAACCCTTGTCCAGATTCCTAAAATGCCAGAGTAAGCTCCGGCGACCAAAGAAATCCCTACCAAACCATAAACAATGACTAGAGGCTTGATAATATATAAAAGACCAAGGACCTTGGACTTCTGAGAAGAGTGACAAAATATCAGACTCATTCTTACAAGCAGAAAGGTTATTAAATAGAACTTGAGTATCATTCTCCTCAGCTTCAACCTTTATCCCATTAAAAACTTCCCCATTCCATAGGAACACATTGCCTCTTTCATCTTCCACAGGCTGGACAGTCAAGGCACCTCTCAAATGAAGAACATGACCAGAAAATAAACACTGATAATTAACATCAGATTTTAACAACTGTTTGTCACTGTTGGGTCCCCGTCGTCTAAGACTGTATAGTAAATCTTCTTCTAAATCTTTACTGACATGCTCAACAGAAAAGCTTACAGAACAACAAATGCCGCACATCGTTAGGTGAAATCACGGTGACTATTTCTTGACTTTGGTCTTCTCTGAGTTTTCTATTTCTTGGTATTCTTTTCTTAGTTCATCTAATGTATCTACAGGAAGGAGTGAAAAAAAGTATTAAAGTACAAATTCATGGACTTACCGATTCAATTCCAGAGCAGCAGTTAGGATTACCTCTTCAGAGGAGGGAGTGTGAGAATGGGTGGAAATTGGCTAGGCAGTTTAGGGTAAAAAGACCCCAAAGAAAATTAGTTTCTTCTTAGTAAAAGCCAGAAATGCCCTTGGGCCTCCTGGCAGCTTTATCCTTGCCAGAGGCCAGAGATGCCAGAAGTTTTGGGGGGATCTGAACTCTAATCTGGTTCCTAAATGATTTTAGGGTTACCTCGAAGGGGGAATGTTAAGAATACAGGCCCATCACGGAAAAACTTCTGGTCGAGAGTATAATCTCTGGCCTAGGTCAGTTGCGTTGGGTCAATCATCTGGTCAAGGGACCACCCCTAGAAAGGGAGAGTCACCTTAAGTCATGCTAAATAGATATTCTTTTTAAAAAAAAATATTTTATTTATAGCTGGGTGTGGTGGCGCACGTCTTTAATCCCAGCACTCAGGAGGCAGAGGCAGGCAGATCTCTGTGAGTTCAAGGCCAGCCTGGTCTACATAGTGAGTTCCAGGACAGCTGGGGTTACAGAGAGAACCTGTCTCGAGAAGACAAAAAAAAAAAAAAAAAAAAAAAAAAAAATTGTTATTTTTATTTTTTATGTATATGCATGTATTGCCTGCAATGCCCGTGGAGGACAGAAGAGGCTGTTGGATCCCCTGGAACTGTTGTTACGGACAGTTGTTAGCTGCCATGTGGGTGCTGGGATTCAAACCCTGGTCTTCTGCAAGAACAGCCTGTGTTCTTAACTGCTAAGCCATCTCTCCAGCCCCAATAGTTATTCTTTTAATGAGATACTGTACTTTTCCTTTCTAGAATTCATGTTCCTTTGTGCAGTAGCTTATTAGGCCAAAGACATGCAGCTTTGGGAGTCTGCTTGCTTTTGTGAATTACTCAGAAAGGTCTAACTTCTTTTCTATCTCTTTTCTAAGCATGCCTTACCTAACATTTTGGGCTTCTTTCTTTCTTCATTCTTCTCTAAAGTCCCTTCCCCACCATGTGACTGCCTGCTACCACATGGTTGACCTCCATGCCAGTAACTCAATGCATGTTTTTTTTTTTTCCTTCTCTGTGCCATTCTCTCTGGGCAGCTGATGAGATTTACAGCTTGCCTGCCCTGGGGTGTTGTTCTTTTAAACTAATAAAAAGTGTCCTTTAGCTTCAAAAAATAAAATAAAATAAAATTCATGGACCTTTACCTATTAATTCATAGTACAAAACAGGCTATATGCCAAGATTAAACTCTATGAATATATGTACTGTTCTAATGTTAATGAGTTACTGACAGAAAATGCTGATATTTTTTATAATAGTTTCTTTATACCCAGAGCTTATTTTGGTCCAAGTGCTGGGCAAAGCACTTTATATATATATTATCTTTAAATCCCTCAAGACCTTGGAGGCTCAAAGTATTCCTCCAAAGTCACAAAATGGTATAACGATTTTTTCCTAATTCTGTCAAGCTCTTAAGAATGTACCTAGCTTAATAACTACTACTAACAGATTTTATGGGTTTCCAAAACATATACTTTTATTTATTCTTTGAGAATTTCATACACACACACACACACACACACACACACATACACACACGTATTTTGTTCATGTCTGCCTCCTACTCTGCTGCTCCAACTCCTCACAGATACACCCTCTTCCCCTAATCTCCCTCCCATTCCCTAGAGCAATCTACCCTGAAAAGTGACTCTTTTTCCCCTAGCAGTCGTCAACTGCCATCAAGCTCTGCTTCATATTACTGCAATTCTTGCCTTCATTAAAGAAGCATCTTTTTACAGTGGATGGCACTTAATATGGAGACTTACAATTGGTCAAAGTGCAGAGAATAAGTGACTGTGAAGTTCTCAGCCCTAAATGGGACACCTGTATCAGATCCCATCCCTTCAAGGCTCAGAGATCACAAAAGAAGAGGGGAGCAGTGGAAAGATTATAAGTACTAGAAGCTTGGGAAGACTGCTACAAACAGTGTCTTCTGGACATGACAAGGACATTATATTCATGAACACACAGCAGCTGCGGCTGCTTGCACAAGACCTATACAGGTTCAAGCCAGTCAAAATTCCAGCATGAATGGGAATAGGGGATAGGCTCATGAAACCCAAGCTAAGGAGGAGGTTGGGTATTTTTTTGTTTGTTTTTTGTTTTTGCTGCTGTTGCTGTTTTTTTAACTGTAGACATTTTTGGGGAAGGTTAACTGGAAACGAATCACTGGACTAACCTTTATATGTATTTACATATTCAGATTTAGTTTAACTGAGGTACCTTGTGAATTTCCACAGAAAGCCTACAAAAAGTTTTCTTACCATTCAATATAGAATATTAAAAGAAAACCAAAACAACCAACTTACTTTTGCTTTCAGAAAGCATTTCTGCTCGATCTGCAAGAAAGAATATGTTGCTGTTCTGTTGCTGCCTGTACACTTTCTGCAAAAGAAAGTTATAGCACCAGGATTTGATCTACATCGTGATGTTGAAACCGAATCCTATCATCACTTTTTCTTGGAAGTTCAGGAATATGCTCAATACAATAATTTATCAAATACAAAGAAACAGATACAAAGTCATTTATTACTGTTAACAGCCAGAAATTGTTATTTGTACTGAGGTTAAATTTTTTTTTTCTGCATATGATATACCATTTTACTTTCAGCAACAAAGGCTCCTATCATACGACAGTTTATAATATACTTTTATAAATGAGTAACACATAGAAACATCTTTTTCTTATGAATGAGGGCTCTTTTACAATACTGTTGTATGGGTACAACACACCACATTTATTTTCTGTCTTCAGGCTTTAGACATTTAATGTATCACCAGCTCTTCACCATTAAAAATGTTAGAATGAATATTTTCCAAGGAAGCTTTTGTGCATTTCACAATTTTCTTAAGAACCAATTATTATAAAAGAACTCCAAGGTCAATCTGCTCTCTAGAAAATTTGTATCAATTTGCCTTAATTTCTAATATTCTGCAAGTGACGATATAAAACTCTGAAACATCAGTTATCAGATTTTTAAAATGCTTTAAAGAACTGACAATCATTTCTTCCTGTATTTAAGATGTAGTTTTTCACAGTAAACTACAGATGAAGCAACAGCTTTATTATGAATACACTGATGAAAATGGCATCAAACAGGGTAAGCATTCAGACGATTACCAAATATTTTCTATGAAAGGAAGTAATTCTTTTTGATTGAAATATGATAGGGAAACGATTATCTTCAACTTTGGGATTTATTGACATACACAGTAAACAAATGAAAATAACCAAAGTAAAGCACTTACTTTTTAAATTAAGATGTTAGAATTTTGTAGTATAAATGATATAATTCATAACTTTCATATTAGTTAATATTTAGTTAATATAGTTAATTAGTTAATATGGATAACTAAACCTCCCCACATACTACTCAGAATTCCTTTGGTAACTTACCCGACTCTTCTTCAGGTTAGACAGTTCATCCACAATAATTTTTTGTTCTTTAATCTAATAAAATAAAGAAAAACTTAAAGTAGAAGTTGCTTAAAGCAGAAGTATGTTCAGCGAGGACCTTGTAAGTGACTGCTTTAGAATAAGAGATGGGCTGGGGCTCTCGTACACTCAGTGAATACTCTGACTACACTCTTTTCGACAGCAATCTGTGTGGGGACATTGGCAGGGGGAAGATGGAGAAGGATTTAGACTGCCAAGTGCCAGTTGCTACATGAGTCACACCTTTTACTAAAAAGACACTTTCTATCAAAATTAATACCAGTCCTTCAATTAATTTTAGAAATTTGTGGTATAGATTAAAAAGAAATGCAATGAAGGTAGGCTTTTCCCCCTCAATTACCAGTGCTTTTCATGATGTGTGTACTAGATCATATAGCCTAACATTTAAAGAAAACAAAAGACACTGGAATGGTGAAACACTTCGGATCTTTATAATTCTTTTTTGTATACTGAAGACTATGCATATGAGGCACTGTTAAACAAAGCCTCATTTTTGACCATTAGGAAAAAGCCAAACTAAGTGAAAACTTTAAGCACTCACACATTACCCAGCAGTATCAAGTGGCCTGCTATGGCATTAACGGAACATTTTGAAAACTCACACCCATCCCTCTGACGGTGCACACTATGTTTCTCTCCACTCTGGCCAGAGGTGTAATAATGAACTACAAGCCCAAACATGCACAACCCTCTTGAGATTCAGTGTCTACTGTACAGTACTTTCCTGTTCATTTGAAAAATGGCATCCCACTTTAGTTGACACCAAAAGAAAACTGTAACACCGGGCGATTAAACCCACTTGCTCAAGATGTCACTAATAGTTTGGAACAGAAACAATGCAGAATTTGGAATATTTAATACCTGAAAAGCTATACCTACCTCTTCCCTATTAAAGGTTCTGTCTGTTACCGGCAGTTAAGAGTAATGTTATAAACCAGGCATGGTGATGCGCCCCAGTAATCCCTGCACTTGGGAAGGTAGAGAGGTAGGAGGACCAGGAACGCAAAGGTTTTCCTCCCCTGCACAGACTGCTTGAGCCCAGCCTGGGCTGCAAAAAACTGCCCCCAAAAAGCAAGATTAGCGTTATACTGGAGCCCTTCTTCCTTTTGTGGGTGGAGGAGCGACAACCACGTGCACGTTCTGATTTTAGAGCCACTGGAGATTGAGAATAGATGAGAAGGTAACAAGCACTTGAGGAGACCTTTTGGTTAAAAAGCCTTTTCTCCACCAGCACTCAGGAGGTAGAGGCAGGAGGATATCTGAGCAGAGACCAGCCGGGTCTACACAGTGAGTTCCAGGCCAGCCAAGGAATCGTAGAAAAAAGCAGCAGCAGCCTTTGCATGGGTCGGGATAGCCAATGACGGTGGCAAGTAAGAATGCGACCATACACGGAGATAAAGGGACAAATTATAAAAAACTCCGGCGATGTTCGTGATGGTCATCAAGGATGGCGCTCTGGCTGCTGGCATGGCTAACGGGATGAAGTAAATCCACAGGGCAACAGATTTGAGGGGTGGGCGGCTGGAAAAGTAAAGGGGAAACACGAACCAAAACCTCCGCCTAAACGAATTCTCTGGATTAAGCCGCTGTCAAGTGCTACAAATGACGTGAGAAAACGCCCGGGCGAGCAGCGGCCATACCACGCCCCAGGCTGCCGCCTACCGCCGTCCCCGGGGTGCACTGCCCCCGACCCGAGGGCGCTCTCGCGGCGACCCACGCGCACCTTGCTGCCAAGGTCGTCCTTGTGTGCCGTGGAGAGGTCGGTGGAGAGCGGCGCGGGGCTGGGGTCCGACTGCGACCCACGGCCGGGCATCTCCACGGCGCCGTGCTACGCTACGCACTTACTAAGCACACCGAAGACGGAAACCAGCAGCGCCGGGGCCAGTGAGCCCACCCCTTCCGGCAACTCTGACCATTGGGGTCTGTATGTTTACGCCTGCGCAGCGGAGTCTGGCATTGGAGTAGTTCTGCGCATGAGCAAACCTGCTTCTTGCGGAGGCGCCCAAGATCCTGGTTGCGGAATCCGAGGAGGTCCCGTGGCTTCCCCTAGCGGATCAGAGGTATAAATACATTTTTGACCTCCTCCCTCACACCCAAGTAAACTACAGTTATGTGCGCCTCCTAGTGGTAAATGTAAATAGTAGAGAAGTAAAAATAAGTAAAGATAGCAAACTCAGGAATGGATTTCAGATACACAGTGTTGGCAACAGAGCTGTACAGAGTAGGTCAAGTTTTTGTCAACTTGTAGTTAGGTGTGCTAGATGAAATATAGTTTCGTATGAATTTGAATATGAATTTCAGATTTTTAAAATTATATGTTCCAGCCGGGCGTGGTGGCGCACGCCTTTAATCCCAGCATTCGGGAGGCAGAGGCAGGCGGATTTCTGTGAGTTCAAGGCCAGCCTGGTCTACATAGTTCCAGGACAGCTGGAACTACAGGGAGACCCTGTCTCAAAAAGACCAAAAAAAATTATATGTTCCATGAAATATCTCAGCCTGTGGGGTATGGAGGGGAAGATAAAGTTCGGGAATAGGCAAAAGAGATTAATAAATGTTCTTTCAATTCTCTTCTAACCCTGACTTCCTATTGATTGGGCTGTTCTACAACCCAACTTTGGCAAGGTTTAACTGTAGAAGAGGGCAGCAGAAATTAACTTGTAAAGATAAAAATAGTTTGTTTGATAAACTCGATACTTTCACAGGTTATAATTTCTTGTTCTGTAAAGTCATTAATCAGTAGTGTGCCTAACCTTATGAACTTGGCATTTCTTTATTAATATACTTCATAGCTTCTGGATGTTCTTTGAACTGATTTTAACATCTTACTGGTTCCTTTGTTAGTTGACTAAAACTTTGACATATATTGAAGATGCACAGGTGGACTCTAATGGAGCCAACCTGTATGGCAGAAGAAATGTACGTCAGGGGTTAAACCTGTGTTTGCCTCTTACTAATGTTTAGAGCAAATCTGAAGTGGTTATAGAACTAAAGTCACTTTAAATTTTTTTATTTTCACTTACTTTGAAAAACTTTATTTTTGTTTCTGATTTCTGCATTCCTAATAAGTTATTTCACATAGGAAGCTGTGATAATTGGGAGTTTGGTTTTATAATCTAATTATGTGATATCATGGGATGATAGACAGCTAGTCTCTTTTAGAAGAGATATGGCAAAGAATCCAGATTTTTTGTCTTTTTGCATGTCTTTTGTGAGCTTAAATTAACTTTATGTCCACCAGAACAGAGCAGCTACTTGAGATATGGGCTCCTCAGTTTGTGTATTTCTGTTTACTTTCAACTTGAGACTGAGATTGTGGACTGAAGCAATGAGCTTTCTATGTGTTTGTATGCCTAAAATTTAGAATCCAGTTTATATCTCACTGTGTGATTGTAAAATAATTTCCTACTTCTAGTGCATATTAATGATCCATTTTTAAAACTTTTATTAATTAAATTTATACTTGGACATTTCTGCACATGTACACAATGCATATCGACCATTGCTACCCAATACCTCCCACCACCCTATCTACTCCTTCAAATCTACTCCCACAAATCTCTGTCTCGTGTTCATGTCTATTCATTCTGTTTTGTGACCCACTGAGATTAACTAGGAGCATCTGTGTGACAATGGCACATAATTAAGGACAGTGATCGACTCTCTCTCAGAATTTATCAATAACCAGTAGTTCAGAGGTAAAGGATAAGGCCCTGTGAACCCCTCTTATTTCCTTTACTGTTTGTTGATAGGACTAGTCCTGTGTGGGCCCAGTTCAGGTAACTACAGTTCTTATGAGTTACTAATTGTAATGGTTGTAGAGAATGGCATTTCACATCCCTTTGTGGTATCTTTTGGCTCTTACATACTTCCAGCCCCCTCTCTTGAAATGTTTCTTGAGCCTTAGAACGGTGGTATGAGTGGCTTATTGAGGGATGGGCTCATATGCATCACTTATTCTCTGCATCTTGGGTAACCACGAATCTCTGCATTCACCACTATTCATTGTAAGGAGAGGCTTTTCTGAATAAGGCTGGGAGCCACTTTTGTCTATGGGTATAAGCACATGTATTTAGAAGGCAGTTTGCTACGATGTCAGTTTGGTTAACTATCAGTAATAAGCTCCCTGCATGAGCATACTACTTCCCCAGACCTGAACTGTTAAACTGTTAGCTGAGTACCAATCATGAGTTCTCCCCCTCTGTGGAGTAGGCCTCCAATCCAATCAGAGGGCAATTGGTTACCCCCTCAATAGTCAATCTGCTATTGCTCAGGCAGGCATATCTTACCCTTTATATGGTTTCTTTATAATTCATTTATCCCAATTAATCTTTCCCACATCTGAACCCTCGTCTTCCCAGGTTTACCCATTTCTTTTTCTGATTAAACCTTTGGTCCTTAGAATTCCCTCTCTTTACTTTTACCTATATTCTACTATGCCCTCTCCCTTAAGTAAACACCTCCCTCTCCTTACTTGTTTTCTGGCTTGCACAGATACTATTTATTTATTTATTTATTTATTTATTGAAACAGTAACCTACTCCGGAGCTTGTTTATTTATTTATTTATTTATTTATTTTTGAGACAGTTTAGGCTGGCCCACACTGTCCTCAAACTTGCTATCTGATTAGCAGAGCCTGAAATTTTAATTGCTGATCTTCTTACCTCTGCTTCCAAAATGGCTTCTATTCTGACTTTATAGCTCTATAGATAAGTAAACTACTATATAAGTCCACATTTTTAATTGCACAATTTTTAATTTTTAAATGTACTAGACTTTTAGGGGAAAAAGCCTTCTTACAAAACAACTGATTCAGAAATGTTTCACGAATCCAGTTTATGTAATTGTGGTGAATCTTTGGAAAAATGAGTTTTAATTAATAATTTTGACTTAATAAAGAAAAGGTAGGGCTGCAGAGATGACTCAGCAGTTAAGAGCACTGACTGCTCTTGCAGAGGACATGGTTCAGTGCCCAGCACTCATATAGTGGCTAACAACCATCTGTAACTCCAGTTATCAGGAATATGATGCCTACCTACTTCTTTTTAGGCATTGCATGCAAAACACTCATACACATAAACATAATTAATTTTTAAAAATTTAATAACCACGTGATTAGAAGAAGCATTTCATTACAGCTTTAACATATTCAGTAACACACTCCAGAGCAAGCATACATCTCTTTCAAAAGTGGCCATAAATATTTAGGTTAACAGTTGAATTAATACAGTTATACAATATTGAACTCAGTATAAACCCTGTAAGATATAAATTGAATGAGTTTTTACCCTTTAAAGAAGATCTCCATTTCATTTTAAAATATGCTTTTCCCCACATTTTTAATATTATTATTATTTATTTAGAAGAAGCATATTATTACAGCTTTAATATGCCCAATAACAGTTTCCAGAGCGAAGATACAGCTCTTTCAAAGTGGCTATACAATTTTTAGGTTCGCTGTTGAATTAATACAGTTATACAATATTGAACTCAG